TACACTCCAGGCCCCCCTCTCCCCAGGCTGGTGTTTCTAGGAAACCCTAGCCTGCCTCTGGCAGAGGGACTCCTGGAGTGAGAGGTAGGAGAATCTATGTCCTCATGATCCATGGCAAAATCCCACCCCTACCCCTACTGGCATTTTTGACTTCCCAGTCTGACTCCAACCTCCAGCATGTGTCCCCTGCCATGTCATCGAGCAAAGCTACCCACTGCTTCCTTCAATGGAGTACCCTCTGCTCAGCATGCCCTCATGAGAGCACCAGAGGCAAAGGACCTGGGGCAGGAGGGGTTATGTTTGCAGAACTGGAGTCAGTCTGTGTGTCTGGAACCCAGAAAGTAAGGAAGAGTACCTGGTATATAGAGTTCCTGAAGCTGAGAAGCCATAAGAAGGACTTTTGTCTTTGTCCCAAGAGTAATGAGTGGGAGATGTCATTTTTAGGGTTTTAGGCAGGGAACAATGATCAGTTCTGCTCTGTAGAAAACTCTCTCTGGAGGTAGGGAGACCCAGGAAGGGGTCATTGCAGTTGTCCAGGTGGGAGAGGCTCTTGGAGCACCTTCTGCAGGAACCTGTCTGACCACCCCCCCGCACGTACCCCACCCAGGACTTATTGTGAGGGTAGAGCAGGTGGTCATTGTGGGATGTGACTGGAGGGTCCCTGGGATCCCCAGCCCAGATTATAAGGCAGACTTGAGGCACCCATGCAAATAGGAACTAGTTTACTAAGCTGCGTGCCCCAGATCCTGGCCCAGAATGTTGGGTTTATCTGCTGAATGGATGAATGGCTGGTGGGTGGATGGATAGTGGGTGGGTGGGTGGATGGATGACCAGATGATTGGAGGCATGGAGGGGCGAATAACATCCACTATTAGCTGCAGGCTGTGTGTGCCCTGGAGCACTCTCTGCTTCTGAGTCATGGAATGATCTTCAGGCCTGAAGGTCCTGAGAGGAGCTCCTAAGCCAGAACCTCTGATTTTTCGTATGACCCTCCTGGACTCTGAAATGTACTCAGCCCTTCCCAACTTCTCAGAGCCTCTTTGCTTCTGAGTCAGTTCTTGATTTTTTTCCTTCATACATTTGACTCCCTAAAGTGCCACCCCAGAGAACCCTATTATTCAGCCGCATTGGTGGGGAGCCCTGGGAAGTTGCCTTCCCAGCAGTCAGACCCTCCTTTGAGCTGCCTGGGGGTCCAGCTCGTGTTCCCTGGAGCAGGGACTCAGAGAGGCACACATAGGCTGGCAGCAGTCTGGTTTCCACCCTGGCCTTTATTGTTGCAGCCCTCCTTCAGGCCCTGCCCTGCGCCCCTGTTCCAGATGCCAGGCAAGCTGAGCCAGCCACCTCAGCAGGAGCTAATGTGGCTACTCAGAACAGGTCGGGGACAATGTAGTCACTGTGGACACCGTCAATCAGCCCTTGGCCGTTGTTGTGGACAAACCAGCAGTCAACCTTTGTGCCGATGCTGACATCCTTCCTATAGTCTTTCTGGGAGCCCCTGGAGAAATAAGAGAGATGGATGCCATGATACATAGAATAGGCAAGACTGAAAAAGGATGCAGAGTTGCCAATTCTAAGAATCCAGAACTCTTTGGTCAAGAATGAGGTTGCGCAGTCACTCTTTCTAGGGACCAAGTTTAGCCTTTTCCTGATTAGAAGGGGCCTAGAGGGGTCCAAGACTCCAGAGGGAAATGAGGGTACCCCACAGAAGACAAAAGCCTTCCAGGCCGATGTGCATGGGTAGAGAGGGGTCTTTCCTCCTGGCTCGTTACTGGGTAGGGTGAGGACATGAGTGGAGTCCTCTCACCTGGTGACTGTCAGCCGATGGTTCTTCACCACCATTGTGGCATGTGGCTTTGCAGGGTCAGAGCCTGAGTGGATGTCAGACACTTTAAAGTCAAAGGGATGGAAGAATTGTCCTGGAAATAAAAACATTCACTGTCAGCCCCTGTCATCACCCTAGGTGATATGGCCACTGGCCTTTCAGGGTTAAGGCAAAGGCTGAATGGGATGTTGTGTGCTGGGTCTGAGGATGGCTTTTCACATGGCTTTTCTCCTCTGCCATGTGAACAGCCTGAAGCTTGAATATTCCATACCCAGCAGTCCATGTGTCTGTGCTGACATCCGGTGACTATCCACCACATAGAAGCCCAGAAAGTCCTGGTGGACAGGATGTTTCTTCCACACCTGGTGCAGGACAACCACAAAGGTAACCCCATCTCCAAAGGACACAACGATGTTCTTCTTCCTGTTGATCGTCACGGACAGCCTAGGAGAGAAAGAGAGGGCAGCAAGGGGCCCAATGGCCATAACACTGGACATCTGAATCAAGGGCATCTCGGCAGGGCCTTCCCTGTGCATGGTGCCTGAGAGCACACAGACCCCAGAGACTATCTCAGGGGCAATGGACAAAAGACACTTTATGTGTACTGATTATGCCCTCCACCAAGAGGGTCCTTGAGTGGCTGTCCTGAGAGCTTGGAGACCTGGAATTGAGCCCCAGCTCAGCTGCTGGCTTCCTGTGTGACCTTGGGCATGTCCTGCCCCATCTCTGAGCCTTAGTGGGAGTGATACCCCTGTCCACCGGGATCTGGGAGATCTAAAGACACAGGAGAGGCTGAGTAGTTTGAGAACTAACAAATTCAGCCAGAAAAGATGCAAATAGGATTCTTATGATCAGATTGCCAGGTCCAACTAATGCTTTTATCCATGCAACTTTCTCCTCAAGGTCAGCCCTGTGAACTGTCCAGCTACCAATTCTGGTTCTGACAGGGGCCCCAGGGGTTGTTTGGGGTCCACCATATTTACCCTCCCTGGACAGGCAGGAGCTGAATTCCAAGGCTACCGGTTTCCCCTGTGACTCCATATGGAGCTTCTGTTCTGGGATTTCTCTACATCCCTTAGGCCTCCTTAGATCCTTAGACTATAACACCCCTCAGAGACCAAGTAGTGGGGTCTTACCCATCTTGTGTGACTGTGACTGTGTCCAGCCAGCTGAAAGTGCTCTGTGCAGCTGCATTCCACAAGGTAATCTTCTCTGTTGTCACCTCAATCCAGAAGTCCATCTGAGTGTTGGCAATGCCCAGTTTGCCAAAGTAAGTCTTTCTGGTCTCAGAGTTGGGGCTGCCTCTCTTGTCACCAATGATCTGCCCATTAACCGTGAAGCCTGCCAGAGGCAAGAGGCAGTGAGAGACCAAGTGAGACCTTTTGAGTCCAGCTGGCCTTTAAGGATGTGCCTTCTCACTCAGCCAGATTTGTTGAGAAGTAGCAGAGTGGGGGCCCCAAGTAGAACCAGAAATTTAGAGCTAACCCTATCTGTTCCTAGATACTTGAGTTGGGTCACACTGGTAGCTGAGGGCCTACATTGTAGATCTTCCCCTTGTCTGGGCTAGGAGATCCTGCCCCCAGAGCCAGGCCGCCCTTAACTCTAACCATCTCCCTGACACACTGGCCCCTGGGGGACTTGATGAGCCTGTGGTTCTGGACATCTCCCTCCAGGATATAATCTATGATGAATATAGGTATGTTATAGGCAGAGTGAGGACCTGGTTCATGTGCCTACCCTGGGGGGCTCCAGGCCTTCCCAGGAAAAGATTCTGGCTCCAGCCCCAGCCCGTCGCCCCCACCTGTGATGGGGTCCTCAATGAGGCTCAGCACTGTGCCTGGCTCTTCATCAATGTTGAAGCAGATGGCGTCATCTTTCTCTGGGACTTGGATGATGAAGTGGGGGTCCCCATCCACTGAGGGCACATCAGAGAAGGAGCTGGCTCCCAAGGCCTCTCACTGTTCCAGGGGCCTCCCCTCGCCTCCTGGCCCCTAGGGGATGGGCTCCTAGAGAAGAGGAGGTGCTGGGTTCTGGGCCTTGAGGCTCATCACAGGAGGAGCCAGGGAACTCACCGTAGTAGTAGGGTGTTAGAGGACTCTGGTAGCTGTCTGTGGACGCAAAGGAAGAGAGAGCTGAGCTAAACAAAGAGGTGCCAGTACCCCACCCAGAGTTTGGTCCATGCATCTGCCCTTCCTGTTCCCTAATGCTCTCAACAGTCCCCCTCCCCAACAATCTCCTCGGGATTTAATCATCTGCCTGTTCTAGAGAGCCGATTTAGGAAAGACTCCAGTGGGGAATGGCACAGGGCCACACTCTGGGCAGTGGGCAGGGGACTGCAGCAACAGTGTATACTCACTCAGGTAAGCCATGGAGGGGGGCACTGAAAAAAGAAGCCGAAGAGCATTCATGAGCAAGGTCCAGGGTGTCCTCTCCCCATCCCTATGCCTTCTGCTTGTCTTAAGGCTACCAGTACCCAAAGAAGCCCCAACACTGATAGGTCAAGGGAGAGGATATGACCCTTGGGTTTAGGCTGTAGAAATGGGGACATGAGTAGGGAACTTCTTTCCAGGGCTGGTGGTAATATGGCTATAATTTTAAGGCCAGCGGCATGGCATTTTGATGTGGCTGAAATGCAAGCCATTAGATGGTCAGCTTCTCTATCATGAGTAATGCTCATAGCAGACACCGTCCTCTACTTCTGAACTCCCACCCCACCCTTGTTGGGTAGGCTGAGGCTCACAGCTGCCTGTTGTCCTTGGCAGTGAAACACCCACCCACCTCCACACACACACACTCTGATCATGCGCACATGCACACCAGTGACTGTACATTTAACAGGGCTTTGCCAAGCGGAAAGCGACAACCCAGTCCAAATGAGCTGTTTGGATAGAAAAACCTGTACTGATGGAGGTAGGACAGGCAGGCAGGGGCTGGGGAAGCTCTGCCTGTTGGTGATGGGCTTGTCGGGGCTGAGGTTCCAATTTTATGATGAGAGAGTCTCAGAGTGCTGTGAATTCCAGCTCAGGCACTGGAACTAGACTGTCTGAGCCAAAGTCCTTACTCAGCCACCTGCTGACTGAGCCCGTGAGCAGATAGACAAACTCTGTGCCTCAGTTTCCTCACAGTAAAATGGGAACTGTAAGAGGACCCCCTTGAGTGTAAGTGCCTGATGTGGGAAATTTTGCTTATTTCGCAGATCGCAGAAATCTCAAACCGATTTTCCCTCCTTGGACAGGGGAAGCTACCCTCAATCAACTGACAAGGACCCTAAGGCTCAGAGAGGGGCAGAGCGTGGCCCAAGGTTGCTCATGAGTTGGCAGCAGAGCTGGGACCTGAGCCCAGGTGTCCTGAGGGTCCCTTCCTAGGCTGGACATCCCCAATGTGCTTGGAAAGGCCTTCGTTCTTTTGTCTCTCTCCTGGGACACCCACCCAGCTGCTGGCTGAAGCTCACCTACATCCACAGGCCCTGTGAGAGAGGAAGAAGATAAATATGTTAGAAGCCACAGACCCCTTGTGTTGGGTCCAGTGTGACCAACTTGCTGCCTATCCAATCAGCCCTAAGCTGTGGGCCTCCCATCAGCCAGCTATATGCTCCCACTGGGTATCCCCTGGAAGCAGGAGCTCCCGGAGGCCAGAGGCCTTGCCTGGACCAGCTCTTTGCCTTCCATGCCTCCCAAAGCCACCACCCCCACTCCACCCCACTGTCCACTGAGCCCAGTTGCAGGTACACTCAGGACTCCCCTCTTGGGGTCTGGTTGAGCAGGCCTGAACCCAGCTTCTAGCTTTCAGGGCTATTTTTACTTTCATAATCCCCGAGAGTATGCTTCAGGCCTAACTTTAATGCTGGAAGTGCTTCTTCTTGTCTAACTGACTCCTTCCGTGTTGCAGACTAAGTCTCTTCACTGGAAATGACCCCAGCCAGGGTGCCCCTATACTCACATCCCTTTAGAGACTCAGAGGCTTCTATTCACTCCACATCCCACTGTACATGCTGACAGCTTCACTCCCTCCACAACACCCTCCCCAGCCTTGGCCAGTTTCAGTGCCTCTGGACCTGCCCCTCTTTAGTAGGTCTAGGTGTCCCCAGCCTGGCCCACCTTCTTCAGAGCACCCACAGCCCAGGTCCTGGAAGAGTTTTTCCAAGTTCTGGCTTCCACTCCCCATGCCCACCTTCCCCAGGCTTGTCGGCAATGGCCATCTGGTTCTCATTGTCCTCAGGCTTGGTCACCACCATGGAGGTCAGTGGAGTCACAAAGTGGTACTTGAGAGACAGGTCCAGGGCCTGGGCCGTGAGGTTCTCCTTCTCATCGCCAAGAGCATTTTTGCTGCGGAGAGGAGCAGGGCAGGAGGGTCAGCCCGGAAAAGCTCCCTGTCTGCCTTTCCTGCTCTGACTCCCAGCACCAGGCCAAGAGCCCCAGAGGCAGCTGGGGGCCCCCCTCTCCCCAAGACGAAGACCATTAGTACTTAGAAAAAAAACTAGTTCACCAGCTCCCTGGGCCAGATGGACAGGCTGTGCTTCCTCTCTGAGGGGGCCTCAGTTTCCCCACCTATAAAATATAAGGAGCTTCAAATGGCCACTGCCACTCATGATGAGCACTCAGCATGTGCCAGACCCTGCACCAAGGGCTTTATAGGCTAATCTCACCCAAAAAACAGCTGGCATGGCCCTCTCAAGTGGGCCCAGGCTCTGCCCTCTGGAGACTGAGGGCGGGATCCTAGCCTTCTCACCAACACTGTCCCCAGATGTCAGCCTGGGCTCTGACCCTGGAATAACATTTTGAGAGGCTGGGAAGATAAGAGGGCAGGGCAACAGGGAGTGTGCATGGGGTGCACTTCCCCAGGTGTGGCCCAGTCTGCCTCTTCTTCGGCACCCCCAGAGCAGAGCCAGCACAGGGGCAGGCACAGGGAGGTACTGGGGCAGTACTGGGGGCCCGGTGTGGGATATGGCAATGCGAGGGGTGGGCCAGGGTCACCGTTTCTCTAGCAGCTGCTCAATGGTGAGGTAGGCCCAGAGTCGCTCGATGTAGTTCCCAAAAATGTAGTCCTGCTTCTGCAGGGCCTTCTCCATCTCCATCATGTCCACCTCCTCTGTGAAGGTCAGGTCATTGATGGCCTGGGGCGGGGTGGGAAAAGATGAGAAGCTTGAGGGGACCCTGGAATAACATTTTGAGGGGCTGGGAAGATAAGAGGGCAGGGCAACAGGGAGTGTGCATGGGTGCACTTCCCCAGGTGTGGCCCAGTCTGCCTCTTCTTCGGCACCCCCAGAGCAGAGCCAGCACAGGGGCAGGCACAGGGAGGTACTGGGGCAGTACTGGGGGCCCGGTGTGGGATATGGCAATGCGAGGGGTGGGCCAGGGTCACCGTTTCTCTAGCAGCTGCTCAATGGTGAGGTAGGCCCAGAGTCGCTCGATGTAGTTCCCAAAAATGTAGTCCTGCTTCTGCAGGGCCTTCTCCATCTCCATCATGTCCACCTCCTCTGTGAAGGTCAGGTCATTGATGGCCTGGGGCGGGGTGGGAAAAGATGAGAAGCTTGAGGGCTGGAGCCCTGGAGCCAGGTGGGCCCAGTTCAGGGACCACCACTGCTGGACCATTAGCCAGGCAGCCAGAGCCCCATTGGTTCTGATCCCCCATCCCCAGCACATCTCCAGGCCCTGGCCCAGCTCACCCCATGGCCCTTCACATCCGCCTTAAAATTATTCATGTCCTTGTCCACCAGGCGCCCGGCCACCACAATCTCAGAGCCATCATAGAAGTGCTGGTAAGTGTTCTTGGTGAGATCCAGGATGGCATTCTCAGGATACTCCACCTCCACACTTGTCAGCAGCGGGTTGGCCACCTCCTCATAGAAGCCCTGGAGTCCAGATAGGTACCTGGTCATCTCAGGCCACCAGGGAAGGTGGGCATGGAGAGGACAGAGTGGGCGGGCTCCCACTGATGCTTCGGAAGGTTGATGAGTCCCACAGGCTGGGCAGTCCTGGATCCTGATCTCAGTTTCTACATGGCCCTGGCTGTGCCCTTCAGTGTGTGGGAGACCTTCCTGACCCCCTAGGCAGAGACTGGGAAGAATAAAAAAGGTAAGGACAGAGTTCTTGGCACATAGACAGTACTCCAAAAATGATTGTTGGAATGAAAGTAAAAAAGAGAGAAGGAAAGGAGGAGAGGCTGACTAGAGAAGGTGATATGGGTGGGAGGAGATGAGGTTAAGGGTATGGGGGTGCAGGGAATCCAATACAGAGGCGAAGACACAGTTATCTGCACTGGGGAGGAGTGGGTTATCAGATTTAGCAAATGAAAATACAGATATGCAGTTAGATTTTAATGCCAAGTAATTTTTAGTATAAATATGTCTGTTGTGGGATGAATTGTGTACCCCCAAAATACATAGGTTAAATTCCTTACCCTTAGTACCTTATTGGGGGGTAGGGTTTTTACAGAGGTACCTAAGTTAAAGTCAAGTCTTTGGGGTGGGCCCCAATCCATTATGACTGGTGTCCTTATGAAGGGGAAATCTGGACCCAGGGACAGGCACACACAGGGAAGATGATGTGAAGAGAGAGGGAGAAGACAACTATCTACAAGCCGAGGAGAGAGGCCTGGAAGATCCTCTCTCACCGCCCTCAGGAGGAACCCTGTCAACACGTCAATCATGGATTTCTAGCCTCCACACTCTGAGACAGTAAATCTCTGTTGTTCAAGCCACTCAGTTTGTAGTACTTTGTTATGGCAGCCCTAGCAAACTAATGCAGTATCCTATGCAAAATTGGGGGCATACTTACACTAAAAAATTACTCATTTTTTAAAAATTAGAAATTCTTATTTAACCAATGTCATGTATTTGATCTGGCAATCCTATGAAGGAAGCAGGTCTATTCTGTGTAGCCCGAGGATAAAATCAGAAACTTTACTACTGGGTAAGAGGTAACCAGAAGTAGATTTAAACCCAAGAGGAAGTTCTTTTTAATAACTGAAATTGTCACAATTGAACAGCTTCCTGAGGAAGGAATGAGCTCCTCCTTCCTGGAGGCATGCAAGACAAGGAATACCTGCAACTGCAAGTTGGCGTCGGAATCCTCATAAATGCGCCGGGCAATCCCATGGTTCTCTAGGGCCATGCTTTCCAGGAAGTTAAAATTCAAATTGTCGCCGAAGCCCAGGTTATATAAGGGGAACTTGCCCCCGATGGCGTTCCGCACGTTCTCCTGGATTTTGGGGGGTCTGCTTTCACCTGCAGGAGAAAGTAGTATTTACATTCTAGCCACAGTCCCAACAGCTGTCTGGACCAGCTCTGTCTGAAAAGATCTGACCCCTACACATGCAGAGCTGATGGAGTCATGACCACGATCTATCATCAGGGCAGAGGGTGGGGAGCCCCGGCAGGAGCTCTTGAGTGGGGTTCACAAGCCATAAAGGATCCTGGGGAGAGCTGCCCGAGGTCTTGCAGGCAGGCGACAGAACCAGGAGCGGCAGCCAGGCACTCTGATTGTGATTCAGAGCCATAGCTGCCTGCCTCACCAGTGTTGGCGTCCCCATCGGTCAGCATGATGATGATGGAGGTGCTCCTCTCCGGAACTCTGTGTTCCTCCCGGGCCTTGTTCAGCATGCTGATGCCTCTCAGCAGCCCGTCATTGATGTTGGTCACTGGCACACAGACAGACAACAGTGTGGGAGGGGATCCTCAGGGTGCCAGGGTGAAGGAGATCAAGACAGCAGGCCTGTTCATGTGCCAAGGACCCTGTCTGCCAATGCATGGGGGTAGTCAGTAAATACTGACAAGTGAGTAAAGAATGAGTGGTTAACTCTTTAAAGTCGGGGAGAAAAAGACCAGACTCTCAGCATTGCAGGAAGGATAGAAGCACATGGTGATTGTAAAAGCAATTTGGAAAACCGATGGACTCCCAGCCCCTCACTAGAAGGAGAAGGGAGCAATAAAGACGTCACTATTGATTTTCTGTAAGAAATGGCTAATGATAAGGGTTCTCTAAGGCCATAGCTTGCTGGGACTTGTGCGGCACCAGGATCATGGGTTAGAAACAGTGAGTTTTCCTAAACCACAAAGAAGACATCCCAATATCAAGCCCGAGGATTCCCCCACTCCCACCTCTGCCCTCAGCCAAGCTCTGCAGGGCCTGAGCCAGCAGAGTCTGTGTCCCAAGGAGGAGGGAAACAGGCTGCTCAGAGAGAGGAGTGGTGGGAATGTCTGCTCTCTCCTCTGTTCTTACTTCCTTGATCTTGAATATTCCTCACAAATGTCCTGGCCTCCTGAATGTTCTCAGGAGTGGCTTGAACTAAATTGTCTTTCCAAGTGATCACATCTCCACTGAACAGGATGAAATTCAGGTAGTCTTCTTCTTTCACATCATCCAGGATTTTGAGGAGGGCATCTTTTGTCTGGGAAAGAGAAAGACAAGCAGACAAGAAGCTGGGAGAGGGAGCCACAGATGGCCCAGTGTCTTCCCAGCCCCGATGGGCTAGCCGTGGGGCCTGTGCCGTGCCATTTGCAACAAAAAGGAACAGAAGCTTTGTGCCTTTTTTTTTTTTTTTTAAATCCCATACCCCTTTCTCTTTCACTGGAAATATCAGATTTGTCCACTGAAAAAAACACAATTCTCTCCCCGTCCTATCCCTAATCCCGACTCGCATGGAGGAGAGTACCTGCTCCATTTTCCGACCATGCATGGAGCCGCTGATATCAATCACGAAGACCACATTCTTAGGCACCGTAGGAAGGCCTTGAGGTGCAAAGAAGTGCACAAAGTAGCCATTGACTATCTGGAAAGGAGAAGGAGAGACTGGAGGCCCATGTCTATTTAGCAACCTCACATTGGCAACTCTTACAAATAGAAGCAGACATTTAGCAGCCCAAGAAGATGTGTGTTCCCACTCTCCAGGGGGTGCCACACAGGCTCTGGGCTGCCTGCCACCCCCATGCCCTGCAGGTAACTCAGCCTTGTGCTATGAATTGAGGGCAATGGCACTAGATGCAGCTGTAGTCCCTCCCGCATCAGCCCTCACTCCACCATGATGTGGATTTGACCAGCCTGATGGAGACAGGGAGGTACCTGCACATTGGCTGGAGACTCTCTGTTCACATCGTAGGTGATGGTGAAATCTCCATTGAGGAGGGAGTCTGTACAGGTCGGGCATGAACGCTGTTGGTCCAAGCTGGGCTTGAAGGACACGTGGCCCTGAGGGAGGGAGATTGAGGGCCTCGCTCAACTTGGCCAGGGCCTGCCCACTACAGACCTCAGCCCAAGGGCACCTAGTGAGCGGAGCGCCACCCTCACAGGAGGAGCCTGGAGATGGGTACCTGGGCAGCCCTGCCACCATCCAGCTTGCATGGGCCTTTCTGAGCACCTCTCTCCCTTTAGAGATTAGGGGCTCCTTGAAGGGCATGAGCTTGTCTGATTCAGCCTTTGTCCTTCCCTGTTCGATGGGCCCCACAAGTCCCTTAGCTCAGCCTACTTGGCACTCAACACCGAGAAGCCATTTAGGGAGGAGACTTTTGCACCATGAAAAGGAACTTCATGTTGGGTGGTATTGCATGCACTGGTGCCAAGTGGAGGGGGAAGGGGAAGGAAGCAGAGCAGGGAGGTGGGCGAGGGCCCAGGGCAGGGGTACTGCCCCGCAGAAGACAGCAGCCCTCCGAGTATGTGCTTCCCGGGCCTTGCCCTGGAAGTCCTGAGGAACTGAGGTTTGATATTTATGTAAACATTTATGCATTCACTGCCCACAACCAGCAAGGTCCTGGAACAGCTGGGAGCCTTGGGGAGTAGAGCCAGCCACCAGCACCAAGAATAAAGTTTCCTTTCATCTTTCGCCCCTCAATGTGGAGTCAGTAGATTTAATGACTCCCTTTGGCCTCAGTCTCCTTATCTGTAAAACACGGACATTAACCTGCCCTGCCTACCTCCCAAGATAGAATGGGACCAGGCTTGATGAATGGTTCTCCTATTTCCCCACCCCTTGCATTTGAGACCCCAGTTCCTCTGCTGGATCATCATCAGCAAGCAGCTCTATGCCTTCAGCATCCTTACTCCTGACCCAGGTGGCCTGGGAGATAGTGATGATTACAGATTTAGCCCCCTGCTCCTAACACACACACACACACACGCACGCACGCGCGCACACACACACACACACACACACACACACACACACACACACACACACACACACACACACACACACACACACACACACACACACACACACTTGCATCAGCCAAGCCCAGGGCTCAGACTGGTCCTGCTAGGATCTGTGTTCCTGCCCCTGCCCCCCCTCCCAGGCCTGAGAGGCATGTACGCCACCTTTTTCCCTGAGAAGGACTTGGTGAGAGCACTGCCCAGGAGGTCATTGGTGATGAATGAGGCCTCAGCGTCCAGCGTGCTGATGCCCTGGGGCTCGAAGATGTCTGCCTCAATCTGAAATGTCCAAAGGTAAGGAAGTGTCACTCCATGACAGCGCAGAGGCTAGCCTCCAGGACAAGGGCAAGGGGAAGGAGATGGGTCAGTGATGGTGCAGGGACAACTCTGTGACAGCCACACCTGGTGTCTTTCACCAAGAAAATGACCAAAATTGCCCATCAATGGTATTCTAACCCCAAAGCTCTCCCTCTTTCCTGCCAGGTGGTGGTTAAATTCCACCACTAAAGAGTTTCCTTACACTTTCAGCTCTGATGTAGGTAAAACACTCACACGACCAGTTATAAGATGTACAGAAACACTTTTTGATGTTGCCCCCAAGGGCCCAGCACCCAAGAATCTGGGTAGGTCCAACCCGGCCTCCTCCCTCTAACCCAGTTTCTGTAGCCAGAACCATTGTGATTTCCCCAAACTTCCTCAGCCTAGTTGTGGGGCCTTCTGTGTTCCTGACCCTGCTCTGGACTCTGTCCCAGGGGCTCTACCCCGACCCCTCACCCTATCTCCCACAGTTTCAGCAAGGACTGCAGGGGTGCTTGATTACCTCAAAGTGCTTGACCAGTTGCTTAGGCTGGACCTTGAGGTACATCTCATACTTGCCCTTGTGCCTCTTCAGCAACTCCTCATAGGTTAGCTCAAAGGTAATCTCGCTGCCTGCGGCCACATTGACTGAGACCGTGAATTTTTCCAGCTTCCGCCCAGAGGCCCTGAATGGGGGTGTAAGACAATGACTGCCCCACTGACTGCACAACTTCACCCATCTTGAGCCTTGGATTCAAGTCCCAGCGCCTTAAGGAAAATACCTTCCCGCTCCAAGCCTTGGTTGCCTCAACTTCAAAATGGGATAATATGAGAATTACAGGCACATTTTGCAATAATAATAATAGTAATAACGATAATGATAATGATAATTTCTGCTGTTGTTGTTTGCATCCCTTGCAACCCAGACATTCTCTTCAAGGCTTGGGTGGTCTATGCTTACTTGACCAAGCCAGCTGTCTTGCCCTGGGACACGGCCTTTTCATACTGCTTCTTGGCAACTTCCTTCTCCTTGACGTTCCCAGGGTACGTAACACCATCGATAGTCCTGCAGGGAAAAAGAGAGTTGGCCAGCTCATGTTGGGCCAGATTCCCATCCTGAGCCCAGAGCCAGCAGCCAAGGGGACACCCACAAGGTGAAGTTGGTGATGAAGGCTGTTTTGGGTAACTCCACATCAAAGGAAACTTCCTTGGCAGTATCTGCCCGGTTGACAGCCCTTGTGGTAACGACATTGTGAGCAAAGCGGGAGGTCACCTTGCAGCTGATCTTGGTGCTGTAGACGTCAATGCCGTTGACCTCCTGTGGGAGTAGGGATGGTAGTCAGCAGTGGTGGCCTGTCAGCCTGGGCCACTGGGATACCAGGACTTCAACCTTGCCATTCCCCTTCCAAGTTCCCTTTACAGATTTCAAAGCCTCTGCCTGGTAAGTGACCCCTCTATTGTCCCGGTCACCAGTGCTGGAAGCCTGGATGGAGTCCTTCATCCCCATGTTCAGTTGGCCACCATTGTTCCGACGGTGGTACATGGGCAGTCCTGCTGCCTTCTGGCCTGTGCTGGCTTTTGTGAGCACATCTCTCCCCTCGGAGATGAGGGGCTTCTTGGAAGGCGGAGGCCTTGTCTGATTCAGCCTTTGTTTCTCCCTATTCACTGGGCCCCACAAGTTCCTTAGCTCAGCCTACCTCGTTGCTCAGCAGCAAGAAGTCACTTAGGGAGGGGAGTTTTGTACCATGAAAAGGAACTTCCTGTTGTGCCAAGAGGAGGAGAGTGGGGAGGGAGCAGAACGGGGTGGGGGGAGGGGACACAGCTCTGCCTCCTTAACCCTGTAATCTATTTCTGTAGCTGGTGAGATCTTATAAAAACCCAAATCTGACCCTGTCCCCACTCCAACCTAAAGCCCTCCCGTGCTCTCCATCACCCTCAGGATAGTGTTCCCCATGGCTCTGAGATCCTCCAGACAGATTCTGCCTCCTCCATTCAACGTGCTCCAGCCAAGCCAGTTCTCTGCTTCTAGTTTCTTCTGTTCATCCCTCACATCTCTGCTTAGAAAGATTATGATCACACACTCCACCTGCCTACTGTGTCCTTTGGTGATTGCCTGATCCTGTCTCCCAAATAGGCACTTAATTACTGTGTGCGGGAAGGTCCTTCATGCCCCCAATACCTTTTTTCCCATGGTGAGGAGGAGGGTGGACTAAGAGAGGCTCTAGGGTGATGTCTGGAGTAAATATGGATATAAAGATGCTTCATGGTGGTGGGATGGGGCCATTCACTGTGTGTTCCCAGCCCAGTCTGGTAGCAGCAAGTGCTTGGTGTTTGTGGAAGGAAGGACTGGTAGAATGGCTGTCCTGGGCTGCATCTGGTGAGGTCCAAGGGGACACGGTTCTGAGGCGCGTTTTCCCAGGGGTCTTGAGTCACATGGGGGTATGCCAGGGCAGGGGGCTGTGAGCTGTTAGCCACTTGTGAAGGACCTGCTATGATGGTGCACCTCTTTTGTTGTTGTGCAACCAGCTCCATCCCGCCCTACCCTACCCTGCCACATCCCTGGTGAAAGTCCTCACCCCTTCCAGGAGGCTCCGTTTCTGCAAAAACAAAGATAAACAGAAGGGTCAAGCCGAGGCCAAGGCCACTGTGGCCAAGGTGCAGACTCTGGGCTGAGGCCAGAATGACTCCCCCACATACACCTTGAAGGGCCTCTGAACGTAAGACTCACTCAGAGCCACACGTCGAGTAGAAAAGGCTCTGAGTAGATGGGAAAACAGATCTGGAAAGGGCAGGTCTCCAGGCTACCCAGGGGAGCAGGGCGGGAACCAAACTGGGAACTCTCGCTGCCCTATATCCCCTGACTCACTCTGCCTTTCCCTGTACTCCAGGCCCCTGAGGCCTTCTCTCAGAATCACTGTACCCCACAGGGCTTAGCTCAGTCCTTCCTAGAGACTTCTGCCTTTTTCTCAAAAGTGGACCTTCACGGTTTCTCAGTGAGGTGAGCAGTTCGTGGTGCATCACCCATTTGACAGGGGGGGAAACAGGCCCAGGTAGATTTAAGAGCCTTGTCCAGGATTAGACAGCAGGTTTGGAGCCCGGTTCTCCCAACACCCAGCCCGTCCCCTGCAGCTCACTGCCCAACCCTCTGCCGCCCCCTCATCCACGTAGAAGACCGTCCAGGCTGGTATCTCTGCCTGTGTGACAGGCCCAGATGGTGAAGAGGGAACAGACTTACCTCAAGTAGCCGGGCATGGCTTCTTGGGAAACCAGAGGCCACCAAGACTGAGAACAGGGCCAAGATGAGGCAGGGCCACTGAGCAGATGCCATCGCTGAGCACGCGGGCCTGGCCCACAGTCTTTATATGAGCCAGCTGACCAGTAGGGTCAGTGACCTGCAGCGCAGGGTAGGAGGAGCGGGAGGTGGGAGGCTCTCTGGGGAGCTGGGGTGTGGGTGGAGCAACGGGGCCTGGATCTGCCTGTACCAAGGGGGCCTAGTGGGTATTGTCAACAGTATTAGGACTTCACTTCCAGGAACTGGGGGACATGGAGGCCCTAGGGAAAGCAAATCTGTGTGTTGGCAAATGAGCCCTGGGACTCCCTGTGTGGGAGCAATAGTGACAGAGTGTGGAGTCACATTTAAAGCCAACAGCATCTCTCAGCATTGTTGCCTCTTACCCGCACCACTGACATGGCCTCTGGATCTCAGCCACCCTCTTCTCGAGGCAGCCAGGGCGCAGAACCAGATCCATCACTCCAAGGCTCTGATTTCCATTGAAGCCCTTGTTCATTATCCTTCTATGGTTCTCGTGGCCCCAGGGAAAAGACGAACCCCAAGTCCTGTGATCCAGCTCTCTCTGTGACCTGGCTCCAACTTGCTTTTCTGAACTTACTCTCCTCCCACTGGCATGCCCTCCCCTTCTCTGCACATCACATCTCTCATCTCTGCCAGCCCCAGTACCCTCCTCCGGAAGCCTTCCTCTTTCATCCCCTAGCTCACCACAGACAGCCTGCTCCATCTTTACCCTGTGTTGAGGTTTGCCTGTTTAGGATTGATTGCTGCCTCTAGACTCCAAGCTTCTGCAGGGCTAGGTCATGTCACATTCATCCCTGCATTCCCAGGGCCTGGCCAGGGACTCAGCTATCCTCATCCTCTTAAAGAGCTGTGCTCCAAAAATCTGCAGTGAGGCTGGAGTGCTGGCCTCCAGGACAGTGGGAGCCTCAGAGGCAGGGTCTGGTTCCTTCCTAGTGGGGGCCGGGATCTCCTGGGCCACGCCATGGCCCTGCCAACCCCAACACCTTCCAGAATGGCAGCCATGTGCCTGCCATACCCATGCCTTTCTGAGCAAAATGACCCCGGGATTCTCCCTTTCAGCCACTACTAAATGGAGGTGATGAAGATGCCTGGGCACCGGGTGGCTAATTTATGGATTGCACCATGGCCTTGGCTGAAAGCTCTGCATCTGATTGTGAGATGTACAGAGATTTGACCACTGGGAACAGAGAAACAGCGAGAAACTGCTTCATCCCCAAATACTTGGACTTTTGTGGGAGGGACAACTCAAAATAGGAATTCTGAAGCTGCTCAAGAGGACCCTGAGGGACAGCTGGAGACTTGGAAGAGACCCAGAGTCATCGCACAGAATTTAGAATTAGATAGAATGTAAGAGATCTGCAGGTTCACCCATTTCTTCTCTATAGAAGGGGAAAATGAGGCCCCGAATGGGCAGGGCCTTGCTCAGAGTGACCCGCCAGAGGGCAGCCCACGGCTCTCCCTCAAGAAGCCCAGTATACTCCAGACAGCAGGTTGGTCTCTGAAACTCCACTTGCCACCCCCTAGCCTGCCACTGAGGGCTCTGTGTTTTCTGGGCCTGGGGAAGCTATGGAGCTCAGCATTTGCATTATTGATCTAAGCCCTTGTGAGCCTCATTTGGAATGGGAACTAAACAGAAGCCAGCAGAGAAAAAACAGAAACACTTTGGAAAGAAGTGGGTGGAGGCCCATCAACTTTCACTTAAAGTGCCAGCAGCTCCCTGAAGTGTAGATTCACCTCCCTGCATCCTGTGACATTGCACTTTAACTGGTCCCAAGGCAAAGCCAAGGGAAAGAAGGAGCCCTGATGGGGTATATCAGGAATCAGTGTAAGGAGTAGCTAAGCTATCGTTCTTGGCCACTGAAATCACAGCTTCTGAGCAGTGGCTTCCTCTGCCTGTGGGGAATTTCATCCTCATTCAGAGGTAGTAAACCCCTGGCTAGGAAATCAAGCTGGGGTAGGGGAGCTGGAACTGTCTTCTGAGGCCCTGACCCCACTGGGTATAGCTTCCAGGGCCTAGTAGGACTTCTTCAGGACCCTAAGTTCATATATATTTCATGTTTCTTCCATATGTTTATTTTAAGTGATTCTTTGGAATATCTCAAACCAAATCTTGACAGGCTTTGGCCATCAGCCACCCAGCCTGACTGGAGTATTTACATAGGGATAATTAAGCACACAGATACTAACACCAGAAAGCATAGGTCCAAATCTCATCTCTGCCACTTACAAAGTGAGTGATTTTTGGACAAATTACCTAACCTCAGTTTCCTCAGTTGTAAGTGGACCTGATAAAAGCCTCCCCTAAGGCTGCTGGGAACATACATTTAGTTAATTCAACTAAGGCACTTAGAACAGTGCCTACCGACAGGAAGCACTGAGTCAGATGTGGATGTTGTTTGTCATTCCTGTACATGCTGCCAGAGTGTCATTTGGTCCCTGGATCTGTGTGTGGGGGACAGTCAGGGCATTCAGAGGATATGGGATCAGGCAGCGGCAGAGAACAGGGTGGGGTGGGGTGAATTGTGGGCTTCTTCACGACCCCTTAAGCCCTTCTGAGGGGCAGTATCTTGGGTTGCCTCTCTGCCACCCTCCCTCCTAAAGAGCACCAAGCCTTGGCTGGACATAGCTTCTCTTTAATGGAAATCATTGGTGTTTTGATACAGGCAACCACTTCGACAGGGAGGTATGGCCTGGGCAGCAGATCAGGATGCTGTCCTCCTCCTCTGCCATGGCCCCAAGGCAGGACAAGTGCGCTGGCTAGGGGGTCCAGAAGATGTCTGGAACAATATAGTCAGTGTGAACGCCATCAATCAGCCCGGCTCCATTGTTGTGTATGAACCAGCAGGTCACCTCAGTCCCCTGCCGGGGATCCTTGCTATAGTCTTTCTGTAAACCTCTGGGAAGAGACGAGTCATCCAGGGTTACCTTTTGAACCCAGCAGGGCTACACCACCCCTGTGAAACCTGGAAGAAGGCCTGGACCAATAATCGGCAATGCCAATGGCAGAGATGCTGGGAGGGCAGTTCACCTACCTGGTGACTGTCAGCTGATGGTTCTTCACCACCATTGTGGCATCTGTCTTTGTGGAGTCTGAGCTTGGGTGGATTTCAGACACTTTATAATCAATGGGGTAAAAGAATTGTCCTGGAAAGGCACATTGGAGGCAGCAGTTACCATTGGGGAGATTTGCTCATGCCTTGTCCTTAGTAGGTGCCCAATAGGGGTTTAGAGAGTTGCTTGAACTTTTTTTTAAAGGGCTTTACTGTTTCTGATGCATTTTTGGCATCAAAGCCACTCCTTTAGTTCACCTGCTATAGAGAAGCAGATACATTGTCAGGTGGTCATACCTCCTGTCTTTTGGGGCCAATTCCTAAGGAATCTGGCCAGTAGAGAGGTTTGACGGGTAGGTGCCCATGGAAAGCAGGGTCTGCAGGAAGGCCACAGGAAAAGTAGTGTGGCTGATGACTCATCTCACACGGGAGGTCTCTGGGAGCCCACTGGACCTTTCTGTTTGCTAATTGAGCCTCTCCCCATTTGCTCCTTGGCTTACCTACACTTTAGTATCACCCTGCAGTCCACCCCCATCTCCACCAAATAAAGGCTATGTGTTTGATTGCAGTCTTTTTGAGGGACATGACCCTCACCAGGACAAGCCCTCTTTGGAGCTCTGAGCCTTGGAGGCCATGTTGGAGATGGGCCTGTCCTGGTGCCCAGCTGCAGAGCTGACCAGTTTACTGGCTTCAATGCCTCACCCCACAGCTCTGCCTGCCTAGTCAGCCATACCCAGTAGCCCATGTGTCCGTGTCGACATCCGGTGACTATCCAGCACGTAGAAGCCCAGGAAGTCCTGATGGATGGCACTCCCCTTCCATACCCGGTGCAGGACGACCTCGAAGGTGCCCCCATCCTCCACGGACACTACTAGGTTTCTCTTCTTATTGATGGTCACCACCACCCTGCAGGGCCAGGTGGCCATGAGGACAGATGTGATTACACTGCACCCTCTCTGTTCAGCTACCTTTGTCCTCTGGGACCCATCTCTTATGACCTCCCTACCCTCGCCCCCAGATTTTTGGGTGTTACCTGTTCCACGCTTCTTCCCACATGTTGCTATTATATAGGGAGCCCTTAAAATGTGCTAGGCCCTGTGCCAAGCCCTCCATGCAAACTGCATCATTCAGTTCTCACTCTGATCCTGTGAGGACTAAGGCTAAAAGAGGTTAAGTAACTTGCCCAAGGTCACACAGCTATAAGCAGCAAAGCCAGGACTTGGACTCCAGCCTGTCTAATATCAAAGTCCGTGTTCTTTGACTCCTGCTCATGACCTATGTCTTCCATATTAGACTCTGCCCACCACTTCCTCTAGTTCTGCTGCCTAGCATTGGGCTCTGGTGCTCAGTAGAGTTTGTTGAATGAATGAAGGAACAAACATGAGACAAGGTATGCTAAGACAGGTGCTGGAAGAAGAGCCCAGAGAAATTCAACAGAAGAGATTAGGAGGGCTTCAGGGAAGAGGTAGCCTTTGTGCTGGGCCTGAGAAGATGGGCCGGCCTTATTTGGTGGAGATGGGGGTGGACTGCAGGGTGAGGGCACCGTGGTAGCACAGGCATCCAGGCAGCTGGGTCCAGGATACATGTCCAAAAACTGAGGCAAATGAGGGGTGGGTTAGTCCATGTCTGCATGGCCCACACAGAGGCCATATAAATATATTTCACTGACGTGACTCAGGGGATAATGAGATCCTGACAGGCTCAGGCAGCAGAGCTGGCTTTGGGGCTTCTGCCTTGGCCCTCACCACACCACCCCTGCCTCCCTGCCCAGGCCCTGGTCCCAGCCCAGTTACTCGTCCTGCCGCAGGGAAGCCTGGTCCCTCCAGGAGAACACGGGTCCTCCTGAGCCAGGGTTCAGTGTGATGTTCTGAGGAGTTACTTCCAGCTGAAAGCCCGTTGCGGGGTTTGCAATCCCCAGCCGCCCGAAGTATGTGCCCTCGTGCTGCCCATGACTCCTGGACTTGTCGCCAATGAGCTGTCCATTCACTGAGAAGCCTGCAGTAGAGTGAGGGGCCATCCAGGTCAAGGAGAGGTCAGCTCTCGCTAGCCCCTCACCCAGCCTTCCTTTGCTCGTGCCTCCTTCCTGTAAGATCCCTACATCCCACCCATGCCACACCATCTTTGAGGGTCTTACCCCCCGAGAGGAGCCTTCGGGCTGATCCAGATTGCACACAATACTACCCACCCCCTCCCCATACTAACTATCCAGTACTTAGTCCTCTGGCCTGGGCCCTGAAGGAAAGATCTTGCAGGACTTGGCCTGCTCCTTCTCTGTGGTCCTAGTCCCTGACACAGGGGCAGATGACAATAGGTGCTGCAGACACATTTGTGGGTCCTCTTCACAGAGGTGTCCTTTGACCCAAGCAGCCAAAAAGCCCCCTCACCCTCTTCGCTATCCTAACGCAACAAGTTTCATGCTCCAAAATTGTCATCTAAGAATTTGTTTACCTGTTAGTCTCCCTTCTCTAAACTCCATGAGAGCAGGGACTTTGTCTCAGTTCCCACTGTGTCCCTAGCCCGAGCAGGTGCTCAACAAACATTTGCAGATGGACTGACTGGACTGAGAAGTCAGAAGTGACCAAGAGATAGATGTCATTCCCATCACCCGAGCACTGCTGGGGAGACAGACTCTGAGGCTCTCTCAGCTATGCTGCGGGAAAAGGCAGGGCGGGGTGGCTACATAACTTGCAGGACTCAGTACGAAATGAAAATGAGGGGCTGCTTGTTTTAAAATTGTTAAGAATTTCAAGACAGCAACAAAAGAGCATGAAACCAAGTCTAGATAGAGCCCTTCTAAGCGTAGGATCCAGAATGCCTGCACAGGCCCAGGCAGGTAGATGGAGCGAGAAGGAGGCAAGTCAAGGTCAGCCAGGTGGCAGACAGATCCACAGGGTATAGGAATTGGAGGCCACAGCCACTGTCCTGTCCATGGCTGAACCTCAAGGGCAGAGGAGCCCGGGCCCTGACCTTTCTGGCAGAGGGTGTGATGTCACTGTACCTGTGTTGGGGTCCTGAACCAGGCTCAGGACCACACCAGGCTCTTCGTTGATATTGAAGCACAGGGTGTCCTCTTTCTGGGGCACGTGGATGATGAAGTGAGGGTCAGTGTCCACTGGGAGCACAGCATGGAGTCCATTAGATTGGGCAGATGGAGCCAGCTGGAGGCAAAGGTCTAACTAGTGGGGGTGTCCCTCAGACCCTGCTGAAGACTCACCACCAGTTACTTGGCGTGGCAACTGCTGGACACCGTAAGTGGGGTAAGTTGGAGAAGGCTTCTGCATGGCTGACAGCACGAACGCTGACGGCAAGAGCAAATGGCATTTAGAAGGAAGGAAGCTGGGCTTCCCTAGAGCTGCTGGCTCCTTTTTCAAGACTCCTCCCACCCCTGAGGCC